AAGATGAAATCTTCTGAGTACAGATGTGGCGATGAGGCTGGCTGAAGATAATAAAGAAGATGGAATTTGATTTGCATGTTAAAGTTCTGAAGGGTTAATAAAGTGGTAGCGATTCAAATGGGTGTCTAAGGAGCAGACGGTGATACAGCTTAGGTCAGATAAGGGGGTTACTCAGGTTATAATAGGGTTGGGGCTTAAAAAATAAATCTGGGCCTCTGGGACATGGGGGTACAGTGAATGGGGTGACCCTTTGCTGGGCATGCCTACACTGTAGGGGATGCTGGGCCCCGCTAGGGTTTCCCATATGGGCTCCAATAAATGTCTTCCCTTTTGCTTAAACGGAAAACTAAAGATCTGGGCTAGATATTGAACTTTCCTCTAGTTCTTAAATGCTTCCTCCCTTCCCCCAATATCATGATCCCAATTCTGCCTTGCAAATCTGGCTAGACCAGAGGATGTACATTGGTACAGCTAGCAATTTGAAATACAGGGAATCCAGGATAGATGACTCCTTCAGGACCAGTGGTGAGAGGGGCGAGGCCTGGAGGGTGAAGGGAATGTGGGGTAGAAGGGGGGAACCAATTACAAGAATCTAAGTATTGCCTCCTCCCTGCGGGATGGACAGCAGAGAAGAGGGTGGAGGGAGACGTTGGACAGTGTAACTTATGACAAAACTATAATAATTTATGAATTATGAAGGGTTCTTGAGGGAGGGGGGAGGGGGGAAGGAGGGGGAAAATGAGTAAATGATATTAAGGGCTAAAGTAGAGGGCAAATGTTTTGAGATTGATGAGGACAACAAATGTACATATGTGCTTGACTCAATGGATGTATGTATGGACTGTGATAAGAATTGTATGAGCCCTCAATAAAATACTTTTTAAAAAAAGCTTAATCCTAGATTAGCCATGACATTGGAGAACTAGGTAAGGTGAGGAACAAAAGTACAACAGAGGAACAATTTCCATCTTCTATATTTCACAAAGAATTTAGATGACAATAAGGAAGACCGGAGAAACGGAAATCACTGGGGAGGAGTTTAGGAATGGAATTGGAGGTGAAGCATCCGGGGTTGAGATAGTTGTAGAGAATTGACAGTAGATCTTTGGAAACAGAGAAGACAAGTCATGGGAGGAGGGAGGTGGTGGTGGTGGGACTGAGCTTGCAAATATTTCAACATGATTCACAGTTCTAGGGTTTCTTATTCTCTTGCGACCACTCACTGACTTCCTTTGATTTTTTTCGTATCTACTGCAGCCTGACCTTGCATCATTTCTCCTTCCATTTGGGGCTGTTGGGCCTTGCCTAGTGATGACTAACTCACAAAAGGTTCTCTCCCAGAGGACGCTCGCTTGCAGGCGTTATCCTGGCTTCCGAGCAGTGGCCTGTGTTGAGGGAATTTGTCTGGAAAGTAAAAAGTGTATCTTTGTGCTTTGGCAAATAGAATCAAAACTCGATCTTTCTCTGCTACACTTAACACCATTTGAACTTCTTGGATCCTTCTAAACCCTTTGGTTTCTGTTTTCTCTGTCTTGCAAGTGCATGAACCCATGCTCTTCTATCCTGGCACCTTGATCACAATTCTGATTAGTGTGTCATTGTAGCCAGGCTCCTGCCTCCACCCGCGTCTCTCAGACACCAGGGGAAAGGGAACTCACCTAGAGTGCTTGAGTTGGGATCCTTTTGTGTAACTAATTTGCTTCATTTGTTTAGAAATATAAAATTATTATTTTTAAGAATATTTTTTGTACCCATTCTTAAAAATCATATGGCAAGAAGCATTTCATAGTTTATTGTCACGAATTAATTGTAGGTGAACTTCAATGTTGCAATATTACTTTTATTAAGTAATAATTTAATTTCCTACCATGCTTTTATGTAAGAGAACAACATGGGGTTGTAAATGACTTTCCATAACTTTAGGAGGAAAAGTTATTTTCCACTGTCTTTACATTTTAAGGCTCTTTACCAATCAAACTGCAGTTATTTTCCTTTACTGCCCTGTTGGATATTGTAAAAACAATTTCATGTTAGTATTGGTGATATTCTTCATAATACCTAATAAAGAGCACGATCCAAGAGAAAATCACGATTCTTAAAATAATAGAAAGCAAATTGTACTGAAAAAAAAATCTTAATAGAACTTTAGAAAGATACCTGTTTTTCATAGTTTTGCGATTTCCATTGGTTTTTGTTTGCGTTATTTTTTTGTTATTTCAGAGTAATTACGTGTTTGTTGTTAGAATCTTGAACATGTCCCAGAATCTGGCCCGTGTCCCAGAAGCACACGGATGTAGTTTCATGCAGGTGGTCATTGGTGTGTGCATTCAACTTGAAATAGAGTCCCATGAATCAAGTGAGGTCTGGACAAATCTACTTGGAATACATGAGAGTTTGTTTCAACAAAATAGTTTTTCTCTGTGAGTTTTAGGGTCTTAAAATGTTCAGAGCAATTGTCCTTCTGGAAAAATGATCATATAGCAACATTTTCAAATGTGAAAATTGAATAGGTGGAACAATTTTGTTCATGTGCTACGAAGAGATGCCCCAGCATTGTGCACTCCTGCTAAAGTATGCATATGGCTGAGGAAGTCCTGGTGAGGCCATGTTTACCTCCAAGAAGTGAGGCATTAAGGTGGCTGGATACTTGTCAAATAGCGTAGCATGTACGAGCAGATAAGGTATCCAATATAAACAACTTACTAGACAACTACATTTGTTTCCAGGTTCAATGGTAAATGGATGGGGCTCTGCATCTGACGAGGATCGTAACTTTTCTAGTCATAGATCTAGTGTAGGTAGCTCCTCAGATGGCTCCATCTTTGCCAGCAGAAGTTTGGCACAAGCCCTGGTGGCAGCAGCAGATAAAGCTGGTTTTAGGCTGAATGGCACCAGCCTCACACGAACAGGTTGGTAGATTACAAGTCAATACTTTTTGCATGAGAGAATCTTGTCCTTTGGACACTGAGCTATTTTTCTTCTGTTATTTCTCCTCAGTGAGCCTGACTACAGGGCTTTCTTTAACCTGCATGAACCCATGGTGGATGCTCACCTACCAGAACTCTCTTCTGATAGTAGTTTTGCAGAGTCAAGAATTGGCTCTTCTTAGCACTTTTTTTCACCTTTCTCTTCATGGCTCTGCTGCTTAATTGAAATAACTTCCTTTTTATATTAGAAGAAAGCAGCAACTGTGTTTGCCATTAAATTTTCAATAACTCACACTCTCTAAAAGGCTCACACAATCGATAATGCACCCAATGATTAAACTTATTCAGCTTTTATTTCCATTATTTTCCTTTGCCCCATCTCTTTCTGCCAATGTACTTTCTGGGAAGGCTTCCTAAGCATGGGGTGAATGGGTCAAGAGCTATCCATCTAACAATTCATATGGCTGATGGTTTTATTAATCGTTTGACTGTTAAGATTTTAATCCAATAATTTGTTATTTGTTTGAAAGGATGCTAATAAAAAATACACCCATTGCATTTTTAAGTTGAACAAACTGATGCCGACATGTGAATTGTTCTTCATATAATAAAGAATAAGTAATAGATAAAAGACCAAATTGTGTCACTATCCATGAGTCTACATATTGCATAGGAAAGCAAAAGGAGATTAGTACCAATCTTAGGGCAGTGATTTGTAGTCATTCATTTAATTGAAACCAAATAACATTAGCATGATGCTTTGCTTATATTTCACTATGCTTACTCTTATGCTCATCTAAGAAGTTTCAGATATACAAAAGTAAGTTACCTTAAGAAATAAGCTAATGAAACATTGTGTAGATTTTTGAAATACTTTTAGTATTTAAATAACAGTATAAAAATGTAAATGGAAAAATGATTTCGACCCTTCTCAAAACTCTCATTTTTTTAAGCATCTTGAAAATTCCCATTGAATTACACCATCCACATTTCCTTTCAGTATGCATTAAATATCATCGAAGGCAATAAAGACTCCCTAAACATTGCAGAGGTTTATTTTTCATTTGGCATCCAAACTAAAACATGTTGTACTATAGTGGTTATTTGAAATGTCTTGCTTTATGCGCTATAAGTCAGAAACGTTATGTTGCCTGAGTGCTTTGTGTTGCACAGTAATCAGAACGCAGTGACAAGGAGCAAGGGAACTAATAAATTAAAGGGCATAAGTGCATTTCTTGCATGTATGCTACTAGCTAATAATGCACAGTAATGTTGTATGAAGTAAAAACATTCACAAGAGAATGAGTACATGTTCATAAACCAGGCTTCTTTGCTATAACTTACACAATATCTAAATCAAACATTTTTGAAATTTATTGGCTAACCTTTTCCCAGAATACATTTCGTAGCATATGCACACTAATCCAAAGGAAAAGGACAGAGCACAGTCCATTGTTTGGTGACAATTAGAGTCTACTCAGACAGAAGACAATCAGAGGAAGCACCTATGGCTCTTAGAACAAGGGGATTTTTAAAATTCTGAACACTGATGTGATGGAGTTTCTGGGCTCATCGTGTATGTGTGTGGGTGGTCAGGTCAATTTAAGATACATGTCTGAGTAGACCCTGTGTGTAAACGTTCACATGTAATTACTACAGGACTTTTTTTTTCTTTGCTCAGGGATTTAAAGAGGTTATAAATCCAACGCATGGAACAAATAATACAGTACCCGATTCATCTTTTTAATTTTAAGGCACAAATCTGCGTGGATTTGCATCCCTAACAAAATATATCACCAAGCTCATGAAGGTTAAATAAAAATATACTTTAAAATATCAAGTTATGTTTGGTAGATTTGCTTTCTACTGATGTGTTTGTTTGTGGTGGTGGGTGTTGTTTATTAAAATAATGCCTCAGGGCATATTTTTGTTCTATAAAAATGCACTCGTATTTTGTATCTTCAAAGAACATATTCAGGCAGGTAGGCAAGCCAGTCTTGGAGAGAAATCCAAGAATGAATCAGTGTTTTGTAATAACATTTGCTATTTACACTCCCTCCCCTGCTTTTTTAGGCAAAGCTTTTACCTCCTCTCAGAGGCCTCGACCGACCAGCCCGTTTTCTGCAGACGGTAACAGCGCGGCAGCCCCGAGTCAAAGCCAGAAGCCTCGGTCCAGTAAGAAACACAAGGGAGGCCGAATGGACCAACTGCCAGGGTTGCCTCCTCGAAGGGAAGGACTGACAGATGGTAAGTGTCTCCTTCCCTCTTATCTCTTCGGGGAAGAGATGTTCTCTGTGAAATCATTTCACTAAGATTAATGCTACTATGGTAGATGAGGCATTGCCTCATTACAAAACAAAGCAAAAAACCTGGCAATAGGGCCTTATTGAAATAAAAATTCCCTCTTATTTAGCACTCCGTATTATTGTGTATATCTAACTCTCCAAGAAATACAAGCTGTGCAATTTTTCAAGGCTGCTTTCTTTAGCCAATCCTGAATTCCCTATTAATGCTCTCCAGCGAATGCTCCAGTTTCAGATAAGAAAAGACAACATAAGCAGTATTTATCATCTTCTTGGAACAATTATGCATTTGTCATCTTTCTGGAACAATTATGATATTATTAAATTAAGATCTCTTAGATAACATTTCGCTTTTGGAAGAGACCGCATAATGAGGTAGTAGTTTAGTAATGGCTTGGTTTTATGAATTTCAAAGCCACAAGCATGCAGTAGATCATCTCTCTGAGGGGTCAGGAAAGTTTATTGTTGCCATTTTTTGTAAAATCCAGATAGTAAATACTTTTAGCATTGTAATCCATGGGCCCTCCACTCTGCTCCTGTAGTGCAAGTGCCTGATCTCCAATAACATTTTATTTACAAAACAGGTGCCATGACATTTTGTCTGCAAGTCATAGTTTCTTCTTCCAGTCCAATGCTCTCCTTGATTTATGGGATCAGTCATTGAGAAGCCATGGTGACACAGGGGTTAAAACAACTCTCAGTCGTTAACCCAAAAGTTGGCAGTTTGAACTCAAAGCTTCATAGGAGCCAGAAGCAACAGGCTGCTTCCATGTAGACTGAGACCCTTGAATGCCCTCCACGGCAGTTCTACTCTGTCCTCTTGGGATGCTGATGTGGAATTGATTTCATAGCAGTGTGTTTGTTTGGTTGCTGTTGTTGTTTGTGTGTTTGTTCATTATTAATCACTGAGTAGTTGTGTAAATATCACTTGTTTCAGGGAACACAAGACTATTGGAAGGCAGTCTTTTTCAAGAACAATTAATTCCTGCATCTTATGCAGCAGAGTCTGTTTTTCCATACGTCCTATTTAATTTTCTCATTGGTTAAAATATGAACAAAAATACACATCCTGTATTTTATTCTAAGAAATATGTAAGATGAGACAATTAAAATACCTATTATAATGTCAGGCCCAAAGGTAAATGTATTCTCTCTTCTCAGCATGATCCCTTACAAGCACACAACCTTTATTCTGAGAGAGTTCTACTAATCATTGACAGCATGACTGTACAACCGGCACATTAGATCCTCTGGGGAGCTCTTGAAAGATACCCTGGGGATTCTTATTTAACTGTTCTTGGATATAAATAAGGTATAGGTATTTTCCAAAGTTCTACCAGTAACTCTAATTGCAACTATGTGATGCTCTGATCTAACCTGAGCACTTACTTCAGTGTGAGGCATGGCGGTACAGAACAGAATGAGACCTGGTTAGACAAGAAGAAAAACCTCTGTTGGTTTTATTGGTATTTTCTCTACTTTCTGGAGATAATCTATGTACTGATGTTTTCATTTATCATGCTAAGGAGACTTAAAAATCCAAACATAGCTATTTCTTAAAGCTTTGAGGCTTACTTGTACTTCCTTTTTATTTTGTTTTCATTGGAAGGCGTTTCAATATGTTATGTGGTTAAGGGCACAGATTTTTTGATTCGCTATAAATAGGTATCCCATGGTGTGCAACAGGCTCACAATGACCTTTCTGCCTGAGATGTTCTGAAGATTAGTTGAGCAATGTGGAGTGCTGATCTTATTTTTTCTAGAGAAAATGACTGCTCACAGCAATGTGTTTATTATAAAGCAAAGCATTCACAGTTTTATGTCATTTCCCTTCTCTGGATATTTGGGAAAAGGAAAAAAAATTTTTTCTCTTGTTTTTACAAGATTCTTAAAGATTATATGAAACATACATGGAAGATAGGTGATAAGAATCAACACAATGTAAAGTTTACTTCTTTCTCCGATAACTATTTGTCTTGAAAGCCTTTTTAGGTCAAGTTAAAGCAAGCTACATCTTCTAAAATATAATCAATATGCTTATACTACCTATCTTTCTGGAATAAAAAGCCCTTAATTTAATCTAAGTAGGTGCTGTCATTCCAAATGGAGGTTATGGAATATGTGTTATCAATAAGTATATTCTGAAAGTATTGATAATGTAAAAGAAATTTCAGTTCACCTGTCTTCCTGAGTTTTTTATCTAAAGGCATTTTAAATATGATACAAGGACACTGATTTTAGATCATTCTACAGATTATCATTACAGAGATAGCGTTCTTACAACAAATGGATATGCCATAGCATTTATATGGAGCAAATTCATGAATCAGGAAAAAGATTCATAACATTTGTCCGTAGACATTCCTAGATGGCTGCTGGACTGTTCAGTGTCACTTATTGAATAGACATTGCACATTATAACTAGTGCGCGATTGATTTTGAGTAGAATTTTATGAGCATTAAAGGGCTATAACTAACTGCTATACGGGAGTGTGGTTGCTTAATGGTTGTGCACTGAGACACTAACCACAATGTCAGCAGTTCAAAATCACCAGCCAAACCAAAGGAGAAAGAAAGAGTTTATCTGGGGAAACCCACAACAGCAGTTCTAATGTAAGAGAATTTCTGCCCTGTCCAATAGGGTCATGGTGAGACAGAATCAACTCGATGGTGAGTAAGCTATACTTAAATAAAAAAAAAAATCTAACTCTCAGAGGCTTAATGGAGTAAATGTATTTCTCATTGACACAATGTCCCATAAAGGTCAATTGCCGACAGAAGGATGCTGACATCATCCATATTTGAGTGCCATCTTTTTGAAGAGAAGGCCATTGTTTTCATGAGCCAGTTGCTACTCACCTGGGGTTTCTATGACTAAGTCTGCATGTGGTAGGCATCACTCCGTTGATACTGCATTGAAAAGAACATAGTACAATGGCATCAAATGAATGAATGAAATGGAAAATTATCCAATGAGAGGAAAGGGAATCATGGTAACTTCAAATCTCTGCACCCAAGATTAAACAAAAACAGGCTAAAACAGGCCTTGCTCAATCCAAATATTCCAGTCAATTTACATCTCAAACCAAATAAAAACATTTGGCACCAATATAACATTAGCCAATGCCAAACAAGGAGGCAGAGTGAGGAGTTTCCTTTTTTTTTTTTTTAAATCATTTTATTAGGGGCTTATACAACTCTTATCACAATCCATACATACATCAATTGTGTTAAGCTCATTTGTATATTCATTGCCCTCATCATTCTCAAAACATTTGCTCTCCACTTAAGCCCC